CTCTGCCACCCTGCACCTGACCGGAATTGGATGGGTGGAAGCTGCCAGCATGGCAGTGGATGATTGGACCATGGGATGGACTTGTGGGTGTGGTGGCAGGATCTTGAACCTTCAACTGGGTAGGGAAAACCGTGAAGCTTTCAGATTCGGGTTTTCCCAGATGTGCCAACATGTCTTCTCTTAATCAATTGGAACTTTGAGCAATACTTTTCCTCGGACTCTTGATTTACTTTTGGATGCAGTCTGTTTTGTCAGGGTGAGGTATAATATTTGTCATTTCTGTGCTTTCAGTTGACTGCCTGTGTCCACGGCTCGGCCTCCTTGCTTTACCCAATGTATTGGCAACACGTCTACATCCCGGTCCTGCCTCCTCATCTCTTGGACTACTGCTGGTAAGCATACATGCCTCCTCCTCTTAGAGATCTGCCTGAAGATCTAAAGGGGTTTAAACAATTTCAAGACTCACGTAAGTTTTCTGAAAGATCTCCCAGCATTCAAACAGCATTCAATAATTGGTTTAGACCAGTGCTTGTTGGCCAATGGAAGATGGGAGAACGTCGACTTCCAGAGTTCCCCAGCCAAAATGCAGTTATTGTGATGCTTCCTGGTGAACATTTAGACTGGACAGATGCTGCTTTTTTAGGAGTAGGCAGAAGATCTTGAGGGGGTCTTTGGTGCTCTCTGAGCTTGGTTTTTTTCTTCCAGACGTTTCGTAACCCATTTAGGTAACATCTTCAGACTACAATTGGGTCTCCGTTAGTCCTTCTTGAGACATACCCAATTCCTACAACCGTACTTTGTACGTTTGAGCCTCCAGGCCCCTAATCATCTTTGCTGCTCTTCTCTGCACTCCGCATGTGGCTCTTCCGTCCCTCTGCTGTGGCTTCCCTGTCGCTCAAAATATGCGTCGCAACCACCAATGTGCGACACCTTCCGGCAGTTGATTCATTGAGCTTTCCGACCCATCTTTTTTTTATTTCAGAATTCAACATGTTTTTTGTTGCATGCAGAAATAAAAAAGTGTGTTTTCTCCCTAGCAGATCATTAATTTCTTTTTTTAAAATATAAATAAATTTTATTCAACGTTTTTTGAAAACATTAAAACCACAGTTACACTTTTTACAGCTTTCCGTTATCGGTATCGTTGATTTCCTAAACGCAACACACTATCGGTTTTTTTTATACCTAGCATAAAGGTTAAAAAACGAACGATACACGCAGTGTGATCTTCATTTTAGATGTCCAAAGGGGTTTTGTGGCTCCCGGTGTTTTCTTCTCGGTGGTCCAAATGGCTCTTTTGAGTGTTTAAGGTTGTCGATTCCTCTTCTAGAGTCTCAATACATTTTTAAAATAATAATAATAATAATAATAATAAAAATGTCGAGACTCGGGAAAGAGTGCAGAGAAGGGCAGCATAACACTGATCTTCTGCGGTTGAGGTTGAAACTGGTTTGATGCCCTCACCGCATCTCCCTAAACATGTTTTCTCCCCCTTCTTTTTTTGTGGCCCTTGGTTGGGCATTTACAATATGAAATCCGGCTGAAGATTTCACATCTCGGGGGGNATAGAAAATAGAATAGAACAAGAAAGAAAAAGAATAGAATAGAATAAAGAATAAGAATAGAAAATAGAATAGAATAGAAAATAGAATAACAAAAATTAAGAATAAGACTTAGAATAGAATAGAGAATAGAATAGAATATAGAATAGAATAGAAGAATAACTTTATTGACACTTTGAATGTACTGATGGGTACACATTAAAAATGAAATTTCCCTGCATGCAGCTCTCAAAGGGTGAGCACCACCAATATACACTACATGAACGTGACAAAATATGTATATACCCAATAGTATTAATTGAACTGACTTCTAGCAAAACCAGCAGTTGAAAAAAAAATGGGGGTACTTTTACGATAACCTTGCCTGCCATTTCAAACAAAACAAAAAGAGATTAATTTTCTAGTATGTTCACCAAACCCATATTTATTGTCACAAAGGAGCGTGGGGATGGATGATGAGGGTGAATTTTGAAATGCGTTCGCCCGTGGGCAATTAGCCAATTGATCCCACGTTTTCATTCAGAGTTCTTACGCTCCGTTCTTTTCCTAACTAGAGCTCTTACATAGCTAAGCCTCTTGTTCTTCAGGTGAAGATTATTAAGAACTGCTATTAAGGAAACGTTTTTTCTTTTGTCAAAAGGGATTTAGAAGAAAAGTTTAGCAGATCCGCATATCTACACCCACGCAGGGTTCTTAGAAATTCTTATAATTCAGGCAGGAATTCCGAATTAGGAGCACAACGCCGGCATTATATAGAATCAAATTCTGGTTTTTGCATTAAAAAGCTGCTTTCTCGGTCATAAAGCCCACTTAGGGAATATCCTTCCTCGTCTGTCTTTTCCTTGGGTGTAATTGTGGAGAAGAGGGGAGGACAAGACAAGAGAAGCATCTGTTGTTGAAGCAGTAAATGACCTCAAAAATTATGTTATTTTTAGAGAGTTTTTTTTAATGGCTGTTTTCCTGCTTTGGATTTTCCAAAGTCCCAAGCTCCATTTCAGCACCTTTGGCCAACATCTTCCAAACATACCAAGTTTGGCCAACATCCTGCTGAAGAAAACATCTTGTAGGGAGGAACCTTTAACTAATGAAAGTATCTGCAGCCAAGAAATCAAAAGACGCTTGCTCCTGGGGAGGAAAGCGATGGAAAATCTAAACAGCAGACTAAAAAAGCAGAGACATCACCTTGCCAACAAAAGTGAGTCTAGTCAAGGCTATAGTTTTCCCAGTTGCAATGGATGGCTGTGAAGGTTGGACCATAAGGAAGGCTGAGCACCAAAGAATTGAAACTGTTGAACAATGATGCTGGAGAAGACTCCTGTGAGTCCCTTGGACTGCAATGCAATCCAACCGGTCAGTCTTAGAGATCAACTCTCTAAGAGATCCAGATCCAGATCCTGAAGAGGAAACTCAAAGACTTTGGCCACCTAATGAGAAGGAAGGACTCCCCGGAGAAGAGCCTCATGCTGGGAATGATGNTTCCATTCCATTCTCTCTTCTCTACTCTTCCCTTTCCTTCCATTCTCTCTTCTCTTTTCCTCTCTTCTCTTCTTCCATTCCATTCTCTCTTCTCTTCTCTTCCATTCTCTCTTCTCTTCTCTTCCCTTCTTTCTTCTCTTCTCCTTTCTTCTCTTCTTCCCTTCTCTTCCCTTCCATTCTCTCTTCTCTTCTCTCCCCTTCCCTTCCCTTCCATTCCATTCCATTCTCTCTTCTCTTCTCTCTTCTCTTCTCTTCTTCCATTCCATTCTCTCCTCTTCCCTTCCCTTCTTTCTTCTCTTCTTCCCTTCCCTTCTTCTCTTCTCCTTTCTTCTCTTCTTCCATTCCATTCTCTCTTCTCTTCTCTCCCCTTTCCTTCCCTTCCATTCTATTCCATTCTCTCTTCTCTTCTCTTCTTCCATTCCATTCTCTCCTCTTCCCTTCCCTTCCATTCTTTCTTCTCTTCTTCTTTCTTCTCTTCTTCCATTCCATTCTCTCTTCTCTTCTCTTCCCTTCCCCTTAATTGTCATGAATTGATTCTTCCTTTCCTGTAATGGGCTGTGGGAATACCTTCAGGAACAAGAGGAAGAGCTTCAGCCAAGGCAACTGTCAGATAACAGAAACCTGGGTCCAGAACAGACATGTAATCTAAGAAAGCGTCTCAGAAAAAGCCCCTCCCTAATTCCCAGAAATATGCAGGAGAGGAAGAGGAAACACATTCAGGGATCACGCTTGGAATATTGCGTCCAGTTTTGGTTCCAAACCTAATTTTACGATTCCAAACTTCTGTTGTGTGTTCCTATGCTTTGTGTACAGACTTGTCCATCTTACTGTTTAATGTTGCGTTACGGTCCCTGTTCCAGGACATTTGTTTTTAACTAGAATGACATTCCTTTCCTGTCCTTTGTTTGCTTTCAGACGAATGTTTCCTAGCTACAAAGTGAAAGTCACAGGACTGAACCCCAAAACGAAATACATTCTCCTCATGGACATAGTACCCTCGGATGACCATCGATATAAATTTGCAGATAATAAATGGTATGTCATTAGAGTGGGACGTGCTGGCATTGGGGGCTAAGATGCTGAGCTCGTCAATCAGAAAGGTCGGCAGTTCGAATCCCTAGCGCCGCTTAACGGAGTGAGCTCCCGTGACTTGTCCCAGCTTCTGCCAACCTACCAGTTCGAAAGCACGTAAAAAATGCAAGTAGAAAAATAGGAACCACCTTTGGTGGGAAGGTCACAATGCTCTGTGTTGCCTCTTGAAAAAGCTCCTACATAAATATAATGATGAGAATAGCTGGGAATCGTAACCAGGTCTACATCTCTGCCAAAAATAGGTTGGAGGGTTGGGGTTTAAAAATACAATTACTATGTATGTATACTTTTTTTTTCTTTTAAGAAAGGAGGAAGATATGTATGTTAAAATTAAATATGTATATTGAAAAGGAATTATAAATAC